AACTCTTTCATAACATAAAAAGCCCCTCAGAGTCCGGCCTCTACTTTTACCAGTCCCTTCTGACACCGTCCCACACCAAGGCCGTTCCCGAACACTATGCTCTTTCACACCAGGGGCTGTTTCCTTTGTATGGAGTCAATGTTAGCCCTTCAGCATCATCTTTCCTCACCTTTCTCTAACTCCCCTGGACAAAGTTAGTTTGTACCTCTTCACTCTGGTTGGACTTTGGACCTTCTAATACAGGCTTACCTAGTTATATTTGTATTATTTGGTGGTATCTTTGTCTCCCATATTAGGCTGTGTAATCCCAGGACAGGAGCCCTGTCTTGTTTTAGTGTGGGTTTGTTTTTGCTTACCGTTTAACTGGATTCTATTAATGTTTATTAATTAAATAATGCAGTGGGAAAAGGGTTGCTTCAGTGGCCCTCCCTGCTGATCGTTCTCCACATAGGCCTTGCAACCATGCTACTAGGGTTAGAATCTCAGCTTTATCACTTGGTGGCTCCAGTTAGGCAAGTTATTTAACATCTTTGTGCCTCGTTAGTAAAATGAAGATAAGAATCCATCTTATAGGTTGACTGTGAAGATTAAAATTGGTTAGCATATGTAAGGTGCTTAAATATGTTCCTGTAAGATGCAATAAGTATTAACTATTGTCATAATACAGTCTAAACGATTTTTCTCTTTCTCTCAGGCAACAAATCACAGGTTTTAACTGAATTTCGAAAACCCAGTGTTACAGAAACCAATGAAGTAGGAAGAAAAATCCAGTTCTGAGCAGTCCTTGAATCAACAAATATCTACCTTTAAGGAACTTCTAATTCTCATTTTGTAAATCCCATTATTTAAGAAAAGCACGTTAAATTTAGAGTAGATTTGGTCAAGATGTTTAGAATTAAGAAAATAAAACTTGCCCTTGGTGTTAAAGGACAATCTAATGGCTCGTATACCAGATCCTAGGAGTATTTAGAGGAACTGGGAAGCAGACCACTAATTCAATGTATAGAAGACATTGGTGGAAAACTCAGAGTAGGAAAAGTTGGTGCAAAATAAAATTGACCAAATATAGTGAATTAAATACTTTTAAATTCCAATTATGCAACTCACTCTTTTGTTAAAAAAAATAACATTTTATTGAGATATAATTCACATACCATTACAGTTCATCCATTTGAAGTAAAATTCAGTAGTTTTTAGTGTTTTCACAAAGTTGTACAATATTATCACACTCTAGTTTTAATTAAAAAAATTTGTTTTCGAATTGCCTGAGCTCAGGAGTTCAAAACCAGCCTGGGCAACATGGCAAAACCCCGTCTCTACTAAGAATACAAAAATTAGCCGGGTGTGGTGGCAGGTGCCTGTAATCCCCGTTACTTGGGAGGCTGAAGCACGAGAATCGCTTGAACCCAGAGAGAGAGGTTGCAGTGAGTTGAGATTGCACCATTGCACTCAAGTTTGGGTGACAGAGCGAGACTCTGTCAAAAAAAAAAAATTTTTTTTTTTTAGAGATAGTCTCTTCACCCAGACTGGAGTGCAGTGGGGTGATCATAGCTCACTGCAACCTCCAACTTCTGGGCTCAAAAAGTCCTCCAGCATCTGCCCCCCAAGTAGCTGGAACTACAAGCACGGCCACTATACCTGGTTAATTTTTTTTTTTTTTTTTTAGATAAGGTCTCACTGTGTTGCCCAGGCTGGTCTTGAACTCCTGGCCTCTAATGATCCTCCCACTTTGACCTCCCAAGGGGCTGGCATTACAGGCACGAGCCACCATGCCTGGCCACAGTCTAGTTTTAGAACATTTTTTGTCACCTCCCCCTCCTCCAAAAAACAAACCCCGTAAGAACATTTTGTTACTCCTTATTCCACCCTAAGCCCTAGGTAATCATTACTCTCTGCCTCTCTAGCATGTTCTGGATTAGTTTATATAAATGTGACCATCTTCTTTCACTTCACATACGGTTTTCAAGGGCTATCTATGTTGTAGCATGTACGAGTAGTACTTCATTCCTTTCTATTGTCAAATAACTTTTTTTATTTTTTATTTTTTTGGAGATGGAGTCTCTGTCACCCAGGTTGGAGTGCAGTGGCGCGATCTCAGCTCACTGCAATCTCTGCCTCCTGGTTCAAGTAATTCTCCTGCCTCAGCCTCCTGAGTAGCTGGGACTACAGGCACACGCCGTCACACTTGGCTAGCTTTTTGTATTTTAGTAGAGACAGGTTTAATTGTGTTGCCCAGGGTGGTCTCAAACTCCTGAGCTCAGGCAATCCGCCCGCCTCAGCCTCCCAAAGTGCTAGGATTACAGGCATGAGCCACTGTGCCTGGCCTATTGTCAAATAATATTTGATTGTGTGGGTATAACACATTTTATTCATCCAAGCATCAGCTGATGAACATCTGTTTCCGTTTTTTGGCTATTGAGTATTACTACTATGAATACGCATGGACAGATTTTTGTGTCAATGCATGATTCCAATTATCTTGGGGTATATACCTAGAAGCAGAGGTGCTGGGTCATATGGTAACTCTATATCTAATATTTTGAGGAACTGCCAGAGTTTTCCAAAGTTGCTGCACCATTTTACATTCTTACCGGCAATGTATGAGGGTTTCATATCCTTTATTGTCTGTCTTTTTTATTAATAGCCATCCCAGTGAGCATGAAGTAGTATCTCATTGTGCTTTTGATTTGCATTTCCCTAATGACTAATGTTGAACATCTTTATTCACATGCTTATTGTCCATTTGCATATTATGCAACTTATTCTTATGTATACACCATTTCTAGGTTCATCTAATTAGCTAACAAATATTTGTGAGCAACTATTATGTGTCAGACATGTTTTTAAGTGTTGGAATAGGTAAGTGAACACATCAAACAAAAATTCCAGGCCAGGTGCAGTGGCTCACACCTGTAATCCCTGCACTTTGGGATGCCCGGGCTGGCGGATCACTTGAACTCAGGAATTCAAGACCAGCCTGGGCAATGTGGTGAAAGCCTGTCTCTACAAAAAATACAAAAATAAGCCGGGAGTGTTGCCGCTCACCTGTAGTCCCAGCTACCCGAGAGGGTGAGGTGGGAAGATCGCTTGAGTCTAGGAATTCGAGGCTGCAGTGAGCCAAGATCATACCCGTACACTTCAGCCTGGGTGACAAAGTGAGACCTTGTCTAAAAAACAAACAAACAAACAAAAAAGACTTGCGCAGTGGCTCATGCCTGTAATCCCAGTCCTTTGGGATGCAAGGCAGGTGGATCACAAGGTCAGGAGATTGAGACCACCTTGGCTAACATGGTGAAACCCCGTCTCTACTAAAAAATACAGTGTTTATGTAGACAGATGCAGTAGCTCATGTCTGTAAGAACAACATTAAGGGACTTAATGTTACTTAATAGTTAATACTGTTTGATTGGTAATGGTACATTAATTTTGTTAATGGTGTTCAGTGATCTATTTGTCTATTCATATGCCATGTACATGGGGGTCTAATACCATAGATGGTCTCGATCTCCTCACCTCGTGATCCGCCCACCTCGGCCTCCCAAAGTGCTGGGATTCTAGGCGTGAGCCACCGCGCCCGGCCAAAGATGCATTTTTTATCAGAAAATTTTTTGAGGGCCCAGAAGAGACAGGTAAAGAACCCTAACTGAAGCTACATTTAGTGTAGATTCTTACCAGCCTGCAGTTTTCAATGTAACTTGCCTGGCCTGGATGTTCTTAAGAAAATTAGAAGCAAAGGCCGGGTGTGGTGGCTCACGCCTATAATTACAGCAGTTTGTGAGGCCAAGGCAGGTGGATCGCCTGAGGTCAGGAGTTCGAGACCAGCCTGACCAACATAGTGAAACCCCTGTCTCTACTAAAAATACAAAAATTAACCGGGCATGGTGGCAGGCGCCTGTAATCCCAGCTACTCGGGAGGCTGAGGCACGAGAATCGCTTGAACCCGGGCAGCAGAAGTTGCAGTGAGCCGAGATCGCGCCATTGCACTCCAGCCTGGACAACAAAAGCAAAACTCCGACTAAAAAAAAAAAAAAAGTAAAAGAAAATAAAATCAGAAGCAGAGGCCAGGCAGGAGGGGCTCAGGCCGCACTGCTGTCTTTGCTAGCACAGATTCTTCTTGCTGAACTCTGTACTCCTCCTTGTCAGTCCCTAATGTTAATTTAGGTTAAAAGAAATGTAATGATCACATCAGTAAATGCAAGGTCAGACTTTCACCTGAACGGTTTTATTTTTGTTTTGTTCTGTTTTTACTCCGAGGTCAGAATGTCACAGGCACGATAAAGATTTAGCTTTTTATCTTCATGGGATTGTGCCCAGAAAGATCAAGCACAGTCTAAACATTATGCGATAAGTAAAAACAAAAAATAGATCAAGTGACCTTGGACAAGTCAAGGTCTCGATGGTTTGGTTTATGAAAGAAGGTGTGAGTGTGTGTCGATGGGTCTGTGCGTGTGCTCGCGGGAGGGTGCTGCTAAGGTTCCTTAGGGCTACCTGCAGCTTTAATATGCGTGGTTAGAATGCCGGGCAGGTTGTGTAGAGTGGGGGGCTGGAGACCCCCGACTTCTCTGGTGCCAAGCCACACATCAGACACTTTGGAAATAACCCTTCCACGAAGACCCTGAACAGAGACCACCAGGCTGGGCACGGAAGAACAGAAATTGCGAAAAGAAAGGGGCAGGATGCGTCCTGGGGGATCACAGCGCCTCCACTTCCACATGACAAGTGACAGGCAGGTAAATAGGCAGCAGACAGGCAGAAACTCCAAGTCCCCCAGGGGCACCCCTCTCCTAGAAGAGCCCACGAAAGCACAGGCCCAATCCCCCACCCCACCAAGCCCTCCCCATCGCCTTCCCCGACAGCTAAAAGCCCCCGGTCCTGCGTAACATTGCGGATCCCTCCCAGCCTCCCGTCCGCTCCTCCTCCCGCGGGGCTCCGCTCAGGGCCGGTCCCCCGCCCCCACGCCGCAGCCCGGGCCAGCGGGGCCCGCCGCGGTGCCGTTCGCGGGCGCTGCCGCATTGGCCGCTGCGGCACGGACGGCGCAGCCTCGGGCGCTGCCCGGCACAGGCGCGGGCGGTCCCGGCCAGCTAGCAGCCCGGCGAGGTGCTGGCCCACCCATGGCCCTCGGGCCGCGGACCCTGCGCCCAGCCCTGCGCGTAGCCTCCGTCTCTCGCCCGGGGCCTCCGAGCCCCCCACACGGGCGAGATGCTGAACGGCGCAGGCCTGGACAAGGCTCTTAAGATGTCCCTGCCGCGGAGGTCGAGGATCCGCTCGTCCGTGGGTGAGCTGGGAGGGGCGCGGCGGGGGAGGGTGGGCCCGGGGCGGCGCGGGGCGCGTCTGCGGTTCTGCGACACTGCCCCGCCCGCGCGCTGCTCCCCTCCCTGGGCTCCCCGGGCTCCCCGGGCTCCCCGGGCTGCAGGATCCGCGGACGCCGCGCGCTGGCCGCACGGGGACTGGGCGTCGCTGCACCTGCGGGGCCAAAAGGCCCCAGGCCCGGGCGACGGGAGCGGCGGGCGTCAGAGACCCCCCGGCTCGTCCCTGTACAGATGTGTGTGCGCGCGTGCGCGTGCGTGAGTGTGTGCGCGCGCCCTGCGCGCGTGCCCGTGCGCCCCTACGCGCGGATGCGGCTCAGGGAGGTGACCTAGGCGGCAGTCCCCGCGGTGGTGGGCACTGTTGGGTGGCGCGGGGAAGATGCAGCCTTCCCCGCCGGCGGCCGGCCCGCGGTGCTGCAGATTTCAAAGGCAGAGGGGGGAAAAGGCATCCGAAAGGTTCCTCCAGTGATTCTCACCACTTGGAGCCCCGGGTCCTCGCGCGCACAGCGGCGACGTACTGGCTCATAACCGTCCGTGCATACAGCCACCTGGAGACGAACACACACATGCACACGCGCGCGCACACACACAGGTACACACACACGTACACACGCACGCGTGCACACACACACCCTGCCTGCAGGCGCCTGGGTGTTGGAACTCGAAACCTAAACCCAAAAACGCATATAACATCCCCGACCCTTCGCACTGTTAGAGGCCTGCGTTCTATGATTATAGAGCACATTTAGAAACCATGATGTCGTGCAGCTGGATGTTATGTGGCTATGACACTTGATAAGGGTACCTAGACCATTAGTTAATGCAGACGTAGAGAGGAGCCCCCAAAATGATTTCTTACCGTTTCAGGACTGCGGCAAATTTTCAGGCAGATCTTTGACATGAGGAAGGTAGAGGGTGTGCAGTTTGGAGCTGGGGTCACTTATCTTCGTGCTTTTTTATTTGTTTTGAGAAAACAGGCGCATGAAAATAAGCGACTTTCGTATTTCTGTAGTTGAGTAACGTGAGAGGGAAGCAAGCTTATCAGGTAATTTAAGCCAGTGTTTGTTAAACTTGGGTAAAGTCAGGACACTTTCATATTCATTTTAAGGAGAATCCCAGCCTGAAGGGGTCACGGGGCGCAGGGTCAAGACTAAATAGCGGGGAAGAGACAGTGGGAGGGCGCAGGGATACAGGCGTGAGGCTGCGGCAGCCTGGGGAGACCTGGGGACACCCTCTGTACCTTCGCAGGTGGAGCCAAAGGCGTTTGCTTGTGATTTGGATGTGGGGCTTCAGTATAATAAAAGAATTAAAGATGGCCCCAAGGGTGTTGGTCTGAGACACCGGAGGAATGCACCCCTTGCTGAGATGGGGAAGCTGCGGAGGACCAGGCTTCTCTTTTGCGGAGAGGGCAGGTGTGAATAATTTGGTCTGAAATGCCTACCACAGAGCCAAGTGGAGATGATTAGTAGAGAGCTGGATTTATGAGTCTGGGCTCCGGGGAGTGTGAAAGGTATCTGCATTCAAGAGTCGTCGGCAGGACCGGCTCCTAGAGTGTATACCCTGCAGCTGCTCAGAGTCTGGCTCTGTCAAGAGTAGGCACTTGCTTGGATGTTCTGCCCAATGTTGCTGTCTTGAAAGTCTTAATTTTTGAACAAGGGGCCCACATTTTCATTTTACACCGGCCCCTAAGAATTATGTGATCAGCTGTCAATGTGTATAGATGTGACCTAGAAAAGAGGGGTTCTTGGATAGAGTCCTGGGCACTCTAACATTTTGAGGTCGGGGAGATGAGGGACAACAGAAAGGGCCTGAGAGGATGGCCAGGGAGGTCCCTGGAAACCCAGAGGGGGTGCTCTGAAACTCAGTGAGGAGATGTTCAGGGAGGGGTGGGGTGCACCTGTGTCCAATGCTGCCGAGCTCAATGAAGATGAGACTGGAGAACCGTCGTGTCAGTGGAGGTCACTGGTGATCTTGAAGAGAGCTGTTAACCTATCATTGTGAGGAACAGTGCCTGATAGAGCAGGTGTAAGAGAGTAACAGGACAGGAACTGGAAACAGCAGGTCCAGAAAACTCTTTTGGGTGAATATTGCAGAAAAGGGGGGGAGAAGCAGATCGACTGGTAGCTGGGGGAAGATGTGAGTTCAAGAGAGGTCACTTTGTTCTGAGACTGTCCTGTAGTCTGACGGCATGAACATCAACGCAGGGAGCTTTTAGGGAGCAAGGGGGAAGGCAGTGATGTGAGAGTAACCGTGGGGAGCAGGGTCCTCCTGGCACAGCAGTTAAGGCAAGAAGTTTCAGGAATAGTCAGAGGGGTCGGGTTGTGGGGGATCTTGCTGATGACAGGCTGAAAGTTCCAGGAGACAGAGTGGAGGCTCTGAGGTTGGGTCTGTTTAGGGTATTTGCATAATGTATGGGGAAGAAAGAGGATCTGCATAGTGTGGGCTTCTGGGGACACTGATGGAAACAGGGGCAAAGGGCCTGACAGTCGTGTACTCCCATAAAAATACTAAACAAAGATGTGTGATTTTTAATGAAGTCTGCTACTTTTCATTTTTTAAAAATAAACTAATGATGAAAGGACTGCAGGTCATAGTCAGCCTCAAGATTATATGCTGAGCTGTATATTCTTTTTTAAAATAATTCTGGAATATTTTCTTGTCTGAACCATCTTTGATTCTGCACATTCAATTGCACTTTGATCAGTTTTACCTTTCCCCAAATATCTACTTGGTGCCAGTGTGTCTCATTTTGTCAAATGATGAAAATCCAAAGATTTGTGACCATGGGGATCCTCCTGCCCTTATAGTGCTTACAGTCTGCTCAGGGTGGAGCCCCTTGGAATGGAAACAAAGTCAGTGACAAATATGTATCAGTGCCTTCTATGTGCCAGGCATGGTTCTAGGTGCTAGAGACAGAGCAGTGAATACAGCAGTGTGTCTCATGGAGCTTATGTTCTAGGCAGTGATTATAATGTACTTGGGAAGAGCTCTCAACTCTCTGCTCTCACCTTGACCCAGATGAGTAAGGAAATTAACTGTGTGCATGTGAATATGGGTGTCGGGGTTGTGGGAGGGGAGCAGTGGGAACAGAAAGGAAGGAAGTTGTTCTCTATGGACGACGGCATCAGTGCTGTCTAGGGCAGAAGCTCTTCCCTATCTTACTGAATTTCTGGACTTCATGAAAGAACAGGCAGGCAGGAAGTGCACAGACCAAATGCAGAACCCAGATAACTACAAATATTCCTTTTTTTTTTTTTTTTTTTGAGTCTGTCGCCAGGCTGGAGTGCAGTGGTGTGATCTTAGCTCACTGCAACCTCCGCCTCCCGGGTTCAAGCAATTCTGCTGCCTCAGTCCTCAGAGTAGCTGGGACTACAGGCGCGCGCCACCTTACCCAGCTAAGTTTTGTATTTTTAGTACAGACGGGGTTTCACCATGTTGGCTAGGATGATCTCGATCTCTTAACCTCGTTATTCACCCACCTCGGCCTCCCAAAGTGCTGGGATTACAGGCATGAGCCACCGCCCCCAATCAGGGCTACAAATCTTCTAGAAACTGCCCCTGGAGCCCTCCTCTAAATTCCATGCCCAATTCACCCTGCCCTCTGCTGGTCATCAAAGATGTTTTTTAATGTATGCTTGCTGTTTTTGCCAGAACAACTTGCCTTAAGTTTCAAGGAGGAGAAGCAGGGCAGCTGAAAATACAAGCAGAGCTAATGTGAGAATGTAATAGCTGGAGGATGTCTCAGAGATGGTCTGATCCCTTCACTTCACAAATGGAAAAAACAATTCAGAGAAATTCCTTACTTGCTACGTAATTTCTGTCAGGACCAGCTAATTAGCAAGTCCAATGTGGTTCTTATTGTCCACCTGCCTAGTTCAATATCAGATCTAAATGGAACAGAATACTCTCATTGATTGTATATTGTTTTCTCTTCCTTGACAGGAAATAAAGATAATAATCTAATTTCTCCTGCTCTCATTCCCTGTACTACCCTGTGTGTGCTCAGTAATTACAGATTTTACTCATCTCTGTCATGGGCAGCTTTTGAACTTGGTCTAATGGTCTAGATTCTGTTTTGAAGTTTCTTAAGGGCAGTATATCTAGGGGTTAAAACCCCAGACTTTAGGGTTAAAGAGAATTCAGTTTTTTTTTTGAAATGGAGTCTTGCTCTGTCACCCAGGGTGGAGTGCAGTGGTGCGATCTTGGCTCACTGCAAGCTCTGCCTCCTGGGTTCACGCCATTCTCCTGCCTCAGTCTCCCGAGTAGCTGGGACTACAGGTGCCTGCCATCACGCCAGGCTAATTTTTTTTTTTTGTATTTTTAATAGAGATGGGGTTTCATCATGTTAGCCAGGATGGTCTCGATCTCCTGACCTCATGATCCACCCGCATCAGCCTCCCAAAGTGCTGTGATTACAGGCATCAGCCACCGTACCCTGCCTGAATTCAGGTTTTAACACTGTCATTTCTACCTATATGACATTCAAAAGGTTCATTTACTTCTGTTACAGATAAAGATAAAAATAAGAGTTTGCACTTTGTGGGTGGTTGGTAGTGGTCTGTGGGTATGTGCATGTAAGTGCGTGCATTAATTGACACATAATCAAGATGATATCGACAGCATGTCAGATTTCTCCCATGCTGCCCATCGTCATCTAAGGCAAAGTCCTCCATCTAGGCATGTATCCTATGTAATAGAAGAATTGGCAAAAACTTCCTTTATTATTTTCCCCTCTAAATCTAATGATGGAGGCCTAACTAGGAGAGGACTGCATAGTCATCACAGGAGAATTGAAATGTTCTGTTACTGTGGTTATCCAGGTGTAAATGGTTACAGAAATAAGCGCTTACTCACCAGGAGCTCTGAATCTGGATAGAGTGTTGTTCATCGTCTAGGGGCTCTGAAGGTCATCACCTTCTGTTGAAAGGAGTCCTGCCTACAAGGCTGTCTTCTACCCCACACGTGGCCA